TATTTTGGACATGTCTCTTTGTCTCCTCACTTTGCCTGAATCTCTGTGCTGGTTTCTATGTATTAGGTAGAGTGGCCTTATATAGATGGTTTCTTATGTGACACAGTTGCATATTCTCTCTGGGCAATTGACACACGTGCTCCAGGTGTGTTTCCTGAGTTGCTTGTGTGTGTCCTCTTGTTTTAGTTGGGTCTGCATTGCTGTTGGCATGTCATTGTTTGGAGTGGAGCTTCAAGGTGACTGGCTGTGGGGGGTGGCTATGACTACATTGGGCCAGTTGTTGCATGGGGGTTTACCCCATTCAGTGGAATGTGGTGCAATCCAGGGCTGTCCCTTGTTGTGAAGCTGATTGGATGAGTTTCTGGTGCACTTTGAAGCTGACCACCAGGTGTATTGAGTTTGGAGCCTCTTGGGGTTTGCTCTATTATTGTTCAGTTTCAGCCATCACTTGTGGGGGGCTTGGGGATGCTTGGTAGGAGCTACAAAGTGATCTTTGATTTGTTGTCACTTGCACTGGGCTTGAAGGTATAAGTAATGGCATAAGTAATAACTAGCCATTACTTATGCCAGTTTTGGGGCTACTTGATGGGAGTTACAAAAAATATTTAGAAGATCATTGCTTGTGTTAGGCTTGAGGCTGCTTGGCAGGCACTACAATGTACATTGAGGCTGCTGCTGCTTGTGTGGGGTCTGTGGACCTTTGAGAAAGTCAACCAACACTTGTGTGGGTTTGCAGTCCTTTGAGTGTGTCCATTGCATGACTTGGGGCATGTCGCCCCTGTGGAGGAACAGCTGGAAGAGGCTCAGGCTGAGCATAGCAGTTGAGTGGGGTGTGATTTCAAGAAATCACCAAGGTGGAATGAACATGTTAACCAGATTAATGGAGAGCACAGGTTTGGCTACCTGCACATGGCCAGCAGGGTGAAAGAACTGATCAAAGAAAGAATGTCACACACCATCACTTCTATTCCCCAGAATGATTTGCCTCAACCCTTGCCATCGAGCTCTCACCTTGAAGTTAGTCAATTTAGTTCCTCCTTGTATTTTTCTGATACTTTTTAGCTGCTATTTTGATTACTATACCTTTGTAATAGTTTGATATCAGGTAGTGTAATACCTTCCAGCTTGTTTTTTCTTATGATACCTCTGACTATTCAGGATTTTTGTGGTTCCATGTAAATTTTAGGATTAGTTGTTCTAATACTGAGAATATTTCCATTGCTATTTTAATAGAGATTTCATTGAACCCGTATATTGTTTTACGTAGTAAAGACATTTTAACAATATTAATCCTTCTAATCCATAAGCAAGATTTATCCTTCTATGTATTTGTATCTTCTTCAATTTTTCTTCAAAAATTTTTTATTCCTCACTCAAGGATGTTTTTATGATTTTAGAGATAGAGGAAGGGAGAGAGAAAGAGAGAGAAACATCTATCAGTTGTCTCGCTTACTTACACAACCTACGTATGTGCCCTGACAAGGAATCAAACTGGAACCTTTTGGTGTATAGGACGATGCTCCAACCAACTGAGTCACCAGGCCAGGCTTTTTTCGACTTTTTATAGTTTTCAGAGGACAGGTCTTTTACCTTTGGTTGAACATATTCTTAGCTAAATTTATTCCTATGTATTTTATTGTTTGTGATGCAATTTTAAATGGGATTGTTTTCCTAATTTCTCCTTATTATTTTTATTTGTACATAAAAATGCAACAGATATCTGTATATTGAATTTGTATCCTGTAACTTAACTGAATTTATTTATTCATTCTAATAGTTCTTAGTGGCGTCTTTAAGGTTTTCTATATATGGTATCACATCATTGTTGAATAATGAGAGTTTTACTTTTTCCAAAAGGAAATTTTAAGAAAATAATTATGTAGATGTTGTCTCAAATTTTCACTTGATTTTACTTCCATTTACTCACACATGCTCTATTTATTACCTTACTTTCCTACATATTATCTGATTTAACAAACTTTGAAAGATACATAAATCACTATTGTCAGCATAATCAGCCCTTGTTAAGATCTGGGCTCCATCCAGGTACCACAAATGCATCGTGACATTCCTACCTCATTAGTTATCTGATTTAGGTGGCCAGAAATAATTTTATCATTAGAAGTATGATAAACTTTATTCAAATGTATTTTCTCTAATTGTTAAAGAGCTTATGTACACACACATATGCACATAAACACACACATCTGAGTTACTTAGGCATATTGAATAAGTGTCTATAACATGGTTTCCACAGTTTCACAAGCTCTCTGGCTGTGAGTATAGCTTTTTCTATAAGGCACTCAATGTCCTGACCACCAGATAATAATTAGGGTGCCTGATCCAGACTGGGACCCTAGGTAGTCATTTGGCCCTCTAGGTTCCTGACAAAAGTAACAACAGTGAACCAACAGAGGTGACTTTGCTGCCAATTAGCTTTTATTACTTGCAGGTGTAATCCAAATTACAAACACATCAGAATACATACATACATGTATTGGGGGTTAAACCATTATTCCAACAGTCTCAAATGTCCACTGGTCCAGGCTATTTGCAGAGTGGTGGTTACTGGTCACTCAGAATCACAGAAACCTCAGTATCCAGGGAGTCCACATCTTGCAAGGAAGACTATTGAACTAGCTCAAGAAAGCAAGGCCCTGGAATAATCAATGACCAGCAAGCCAGACACACGAGCTCATTCACAGGAGGGAAAATTGCAAGTGTCACAGTTCTTAGTTTCACTTTTATCCTTCTTGTGGAGGTGTCTCCATTCATCTGAACTTAGATTAGCTTGTGGTCTCTGAAGATAGCCCTTGAAATCCAAACCAAAATATTTGGCAGTGTCCATGAAGATGGTTGATGATCATTATCACTTTTAACCTGTAGGTTGCCTCTCTTTTGCTGGCAGTGCAGGACTTGGATGTTGGCCCAGGATTATATGTGTTCAGATGATAAGTTTCAAACTCAAGTTTAAGTTAGTTATACTAACTCTGCTCTCCACACACAGTACAGGAAAACTTCTAAACAAGTTTTCCTTTTCCTGAGGTCCAAAGAAACCCAGTTGAAGGACAATATGTAATTAACTAAAATTCAGTGCCTTATATTTTCCCCCACAGAAAACCAAATAATGATTTGAGAAATTAAAGGAATTTATTTTAACTTTTAAAAACTATTTTTATCTGAATATTTATAGAAACAATTGAAACATGAGTACTTTTCACCTTTTTGGTTGAATGAATATAAATACTAATAATTCCCAATGTATTTCTCTTTTTTCCCCTCATGATTGATTAGGCTGGCATCAGTGTCTTTAGGGCAGATTTGAAGAGAAAACTTTCCAAAATTCTTCTCCACATCATTCCCTTTAGCCAGGTTCAAATTACCTCACACCATTCTTATGCTCTGAGAAACAGCCAACACTTTTGGTAAAGCCATTAAGCATTCCTACCAGGGATGTGGCCATGACCCACATGGCAGCAGGCTATTTGGGGAGCAGGATTCCTGAGAGTCATGTTCAGCCTCTCAAAGCCCATTATTCTTTGGGACTGAAACCAGCAAAGTAAGGAGGTCTCTATCACATCTTCTCTTTTCCAGAATACCAAAGACAGTTTGAACAATTTTGTGCACACAGACAGTTCTAAGGAAATCACTCCACCCACGATGAGCAACATCAGTGATATTTGAAATAAATGAGGGCTTCATGAGGGAAAAGCATGACATGGTCTCTTAATATCTATTCAGTGTCGGTTTGCCATGGTCTAAATTTGTTTTCCTCTGTCTCTCATTCGTTCAACTGAGATTCTCTTTTTCTCTTCCTTCCCTCAAGATCCAGCTTGTGATGCCCCCTCCACAAAGTCTTGGGGACTAACTATTATCTTCACTTTCACATCTGGTATAGGGTTTTTCCCTAGGACCAAAGTAGCTCATTCTATGGGGAACCCAGGGCAAAAGCCAACCTGCTACAACCATTGTTTAATAAAATAGTCTGAGACCTTATAAAGGCATTGACTTGTCTTAATCCCAAATTCCATTTGGAACTGCAATGCCAGTTTATCCTGCAGACCCCAAGTCCCATATTATTTGCCCTCTGTTCCCAAACACCTTTTGGCCATTTAGCTTCTTATAATGTTCCAGAATAAAGGCCAGCATGAAAAGAGGAAGACCAAATATGAAATGGATTGAATCCATAAAATAAACCAAAGGCATGAGTCTGCAGGAGCAGAGCAGGACTGTTGAGGACAGGACATTGTGGAGTTGGATCTGACTCTATATCATGTTGTGAGGACCCACCAAGACAGAGGCAGGCCCCTAGGCCCCAGGGCAGGACAAAAGGTACACATGAGTGACTCAGTAAACTGCAGAGGGTGGAGGCAGTTCCAGGAGTTAACTTAAATCATTGCGTTTGACGAATACCAGGTGCACTACAGCTTCAGGCACCTGTGGTTGAGAAACATCCTGAGCCCACCCTTCCTAAATTTATAACCCATGTAACTTACTCAGGAACCTGAGGTTGAGAAACATCCTAAGCCCACCCTTCCTAAAGAATTTATAACCCATGTAGCTAACTGACAATGATTGCTTGCTCACTGTAGCCCTATATAAGCTTGTGGTAAATTTAGATCAGGGTTTGAGTCAGAATTCCACTGCGTTGGATATGACCGAACCCCAGCTAGCTGGAATAAAAGTCCCTTTTGCTGTTACATTATCAGCTCTGGAGTGATTGTTTTTCCGCTGCATAGGGGATCTGATTCTTAGCCATAACATTTGGGGGCTCGTCCGGGATCCCCAGGTGGAGGATCAGGCAACCCTCCACTGCTGATATAGGGGCATACTCTGTAGGGAGCCGCGGTTACTTGGGGGTGACTCTTAGGGGTTGAGAGGCCCGAGTGGATCGATAGAGCGATCCGTCTGACCCTAGGCAAGGGAGCCTAGGAAGGTCCCGTAAATTCTGGCAGTGTGCCTGTGTGGGCCTGCGGAAGGCCGCCAGGGGAGCTGGGGAGATGTCCTCGAGGCTCCAGAACCCTCTAGAGAACGGTGAGTGCTGTTAGGTAAGAGTGGGTCGGAGAGAGAAATTATGGGAATGCGCTGGCATTTTGTTTTCTGTTCACTGTTGCCTACATCGTGTCGAATTTTTGTTGTCGCCTTTGTTACAAGTTTGCTCTGTTTAGGTATCTTTGGACCTTCCGTCTGGGACCTGGCTATGGGACAGATCCAGTCCACCCCACTCTCTGTCTTTGTTGACCATTTTTCCGAGTTTAGGTCCCGAGGATGAAATTATGACGTGGAAGTCCGTAAGAGAAAACTGCAGACCTTCTATTCAGTAGAATGGCTGACGTTTGGGGTAGGGTGGCCACCCGAGGGGACATTCTATCTCCCCACAATTAAGAAGGTCCAGGAAATTGTAAACCAAGGTGGACCCCACGGGCATCCTGACCAATTCCCATATATTCTCATATGGCAGGTGATGGTTGAAAGCCCCCCTTCCTGGTTAAAACCTTTTTTGCCTCCTGAACCAACAGGAGCCCAGGTGCTGGCAGTGACCGCGAAGACTCAGCCTACCGACTCCCATGGCCTGGCGCCAGCGCCATCAGCTCCTCCCAAACCTATTCTCTCCAAGGATGGCATTTATCCTTCCCTCATAGATCTAGATGTAGAGGAGGTCCCCCCCACTTATGCTCCTCCACCGGCAGTACCAGAAGCTGTAGTCTCCAGTTCAGGGCCCCGGGGGGACAGCATTGCTGAACGACTGTGGAGACCACGGCTCCAAGAAGACCCAGGAGAGGGAGAGGGCCCTTCCTCTACAGCTGTTCTCCTTCTCCGAACCATTGGTCCTGTAGGGGCTAATGGCCAGCGATCCTACCAATACTGGCCTTTCTCTTCCCTTGACCTCTACAATTGGAAATCCCAGAATGCGCTTTTCTCTGAGAACCCCAAGGAATTAATTGATCTCTTAGATTCTGTCATTTTTACTCATAATCCCACTTGGGATGACTGTTGACAACTTTTAAAGGTTCTTTTCACAACCGAAGAGAGAGAAAGGATCCTGGTGGAGGTTCGGGAGCTAATCCCGGGCATTGACGGACGGCCCACTACTCAGCCTAACCTCATTAATGAAGGATTTCTCCTGGACCGTCCCACTTGGGATTTCGACCAAGATCAAGGTAGGGAGCGTGGTCGAGTGTTCCGTCAGGTTCTAATGGCCTGTCTCCATGCTGCAGCTCGAAAGCCCACTAATTTGGCAAAGGTAAATGCAGCCAGGCAGGAAGCCAATGAGACTCCAGGAGCTTTTCTTGAGAGACTCTATGAGGCCTTCAGGCAATATACTCCTATGGACCCCTTAACCACAGAATCCAAGGCCACGATAGTCTTAGCTTTTGTGAACCAAGCAGCCCCTGACATTAGGAAGAAGTTACAAAAGATAGAGGGGCTCGGAGAACAGTCAGTGCAGGACTTACTAAAAGTAGCAGAGAAAGTGTATAACAACCAGGAGACACCAGAAGAATGAGCAGTCAGGCTCAGGAGGGAAGATCAGGAGAGAATGGAGAAAATTAGACAAGAAGATAAGGAATTTCAAGTTAAGGAAAATCGAAGACACCAGAAAGAACTAGCGAAGATATTTTTTGCAAGCGCCAGGGAGGGACCAGAAAAGATTAGTCAGGAGAAACCCTGGCAGGCTGGCCAAGCCCGAGACAGTCCAGACTAGGGAGAGGTCAATGCGCCCTCTGCAAGAAAAAAGGACATTGGAAGTCAGAGTGCCCATCCCGCAGAGGGCCAGGCAAAGGGGGCACAGAGTTTAAGCCCAGAGAGGCCGCTCGGGTACTTGTGGCAGGGGACGACCGTGACTAGGGCCCTACTGGAAGCGCCGGCCTTAACACTGCCTGATCCGACCAAGCCTTTCCAGCTATTTGTAGATGAAAGAAAGGGGGTAGCTAAGAGGGTATTGCTCCAGATTCTGGGACCCTGGAGAAAGCCGGTTGCTTACTTATCAAAGAAATTGGATCCCGTCGCGGCAGAATGGCCTATGTGCTTACGGATCATAGCTGCCACGGCGACACTAGTACATGACGCTGACAAACTGACTTTCGGACAGAAACTGTTGATCACCACCCCTCATGCAATAGAGGGAATATTAAGGCAACCCCCCGGTAAGTGGCTATCCAATGCCCGGCTGACTCACTACCAAGGCCTCTTATTAGATGCGCCCCGGATCAGGTTTGAAGCCCCGGCTGCCCTGAACCCCGCCACCCTACTCCCTGTACCTGATCTGGAAGCCCCACTACAGGACTGCTCAGAAATCCTAGCCAAGGTGACGGCGGTTCGAAGAGACTTACGGGACCGGCGGTTAAACAATTCTGACCTGACTTGGTATACGGACCGGAGCAGCTACGTAGAGTGAGGGGAGTGATACGCGGGAGCGGCAGTGGTAGATCAGAAAGGGAAAATAGTCTGGGCCCAGGCGCTACCAAGAGGCACATCAACCCAGCGAGCAGAACTGATAGCCCTTGCTGAAGCCCTCGAGTGGGCAGAGGGATGGAGACTCACTGTTCACACAGACAGCCAATACCCCTTTGGGACTGCACATCTCCACGGGGCAATCTATCAGGAGAGAGGTTTCCTCACTGCTGAAGGAAAAGAGATTAAAAACAAGGAGGGCATTTTACAGCTACTATTGGCGGTACAGAAACTGAAAGCCGTTGCCATCGTACATGTCCCTGGCCATCAGAAGGGAGGAGCTCTGGAGGCAGCAGGAAACCGGGCAGCCAATGCTGGGGCGCGCGAGGTGGCGAAAAGCGGTACAACTACCATTCTGAGTCTGCAGCTCTCACCACCAGGCATGGGTAAGCTACCCCCCACCCCCTTGTATTCCAAGTGGGTCACTCAGAAGGTAGGCACCGAGGCTGGGTCGGACCTCTGGTATCGAGACCCTGAAGGGAAACTGCTGCTGCCAGAGGACCTGGGAAAACATCTAATCCTACATCTGCAGCAGACTACACATCTAGGAGAAAAGAAAATGGGCTACCTCTTAGAGACCGCCAAGCTCCGGTTTCACCATCAAAGAAGGACTCTCAGAGAAACGATCGACCAGTGTCGTGCCTGCCAGGTCATGAAGTCTAGAAAAGTAACCCATCAACATTCAGGTAGGAGGGAGAGAGGGTGGAAGCCGGGAGTAAGCTGGGAGATAGACTTTACAGAGGTAAGGCCAGGAAGGTACGGATATAAATATCTACTAGTACTAGTTGACACCTTTTCTGGGTGGGCTGAGGCATTCCCCGTAGTAGCAAAGAAAATTTTAGAAGATATCGTCCCACGATATGGGGTGCCTGAGAAAATAGGNGTTCTCCGTAGTAGCAAAGAAAATTTTAGAAGATATCGTCCCACGATATGGGGTGCCTGAGAAAATAGGTTCAGACAATGGCCCTGCTTTTGTCAGCAAAATCATACAGGGTCTGTCCTGGACCTTGGGGACTGATTGGAAACTACATTGTGAATATAATCCCCAAAGTTCCAGGCAAGTAGAAAGGATGAATAGATCAATCAAGGAGACTTTATCTAAATTGGCAATAGAAACTGGCAGGGACTGGGTCATGCTCCTACCTTATGCCCTGTTCTGGGTTAGAAATACCCCATATGTGCTTAACCTCATGCCATTTGAAATCCTTTATGGTAGCCCCCCCCCCCCCCCAGTATATCCCACCGGACCAGAACCCAAGGGGGAGGTTCTGCCAGGATTGGCCCAGTTTGCAAAGGCCATCCAGGCATTACAAGCTATCCAGAAGGAGATCTGGCCTGCTGTCGCTGCGGCACATAGGGGTTTGGAGCCGACTTCTGACCCAAAACATGGGATTGAGCCTGGAGACTGGGTATGGGTGCAGAGACATCAGACAAAAGCTCTAGAACCTTGCTGGAAAGGGCCTTATGTTGTGCTTCTTGTGACCCCCACTGCCCTCAAGGTTGACGGTAGAGGTTCCTGGATTCACCACTCCCACATCAGGAAGGCCAGTGCCCGGGAACAGGAGGATGCCCGAACCAGCTGGAGAGTTGAGCCCCATCAAGAGGACCCACTGAAGCTTAAGATAAGCAGAAAGA